TTTTCTTCCTTTTCTTCACTTGTCGCCCCTGGGCCATCCTCCTTTTCCTTTCTTTCTTTACTTGTCGCCCCTAGGCCATCCTCCTTTTCTTTTCTTTCTTCGTCCACCTTCTTCTGCAGGACCATGGACATCAATTCTTTCAGCTCCATAGTACGCTGACTCGAAAGGGGCTTCGTGCCAAGGTCGGCAATCATGATGGCGCCAGGCATGTGTCTCACTCGCCAGTCGAGGTTGGTGATTCTCCAGCGAACATGTTGTGCCCTCAGCCTCAAATGTCTGGTGCGCCAGTTGGCATGGCCATCGGAGAAGAATCCAGTGGCCGCAAGGTTGTCGACAAAGAGGGTCTTCACGTAGGGTTCCTCACGCTCTTGGATCATGCTATCAACTGCATCACCAGTTTGGAGCCCTTCGATGGCTTCCAGCAGCTCCGACTCGGCAGTGGACAAGGCCGGAAATGGTTGGCGCCCGCTTTTCCAAAACATCAGCGCTCCATTCCACAACACCATCACAGCGCCATGGGATGCCTGGGTTTCCGGCGACGCTGCAAAGCTTGAGTCCGTGTAGACCTCCAATGACTTTGGTCCTCCATCCCATCCTTCTCCTTTTCCAGGAGGAAACTCAAGTCCTTCATTGGGAGTTGACTTCAAGTACTTCCAGACTTGGGTGGCTTGTTCAATCACCCAGGATGGATGTGGCAGAATTTCTTGTGCACATCGACTCGTAGCGAATGCTACATCAGGCCTTGTACGAGTTGACAACCACATCAGTTCGCCAACGAGCTTCTGGGCTGCATTGACCAACCCTGGAGTAGGCTCTTCTGGCATCGGAGCAGCGTCCTTGGACATAGGGACCTTCATGTTCTTTGTATCTGGAATCCCTTCTTTGTCCTTGATGTAGTCTTCTTGCGATGCCCGATATCCTCCTTCGACTGTTTTGGTGATCTCCATGCCCAGGAACTTGACCTTGTCCTTTCCCACTTCTTCAGGTGTGGAGGTCTCCCATTGGGCCTGTAGAACATGGATCACCTGGTCGACGGTTTTCTCATCACTTGTAACCATCAGGTCATCAACGTAGACCAATAGGAATCCAACCATCTTTTCTTCGCATTCTTCATCTTCACCATCACCGAGCATGATGCTCCATAGATTAGGCTCAGCTTCGGCCTGGACAAAGCGATGTCCTTGTGGTGAGGTCAACTTCCTCAGCACCTGGTCACGGTAGACCCCCCAACAGCGCGGAGACTGGCGGAGACCGTACATAGCCTTTTGAGCCAGGTAGTAGTCCTTGGGCCCCACATGGCCCGTCTTCAGAAGAAGGGATGGTGGTTTCAACACCACCATGGTCGGCTCCTGACCTTCAGCTTCGATGTCCAGCGGTGCATTGAGGAAGGCTGTTCGAATGTCCAGCACTGATGCCTTCCAGCTCTCTTCAGCTGATCGCTTCAGGACGTAGCGAAGGCAAACGGCGTCCGCACCTGAGGCGTACAGGCATTGGTCCTTCTGTTCCGCTGATGCTGGGTCAACGAAGTTGCCGCAAGCTACCAGTCTGATCTTTCTTCTTGGACCAGGCTTCAAGGTGATCACTACCTTCGAGGGCAGCACCTCCAACTTTCTGCCCCACTTTTCTTGAAGGGACTTGAACTCATCTTCATCGATCCGGCGGAGGGCCTTTTTCTCCTCGAACAACTGGTGAAGCTCTTTCCGGATTGCCTCATCCCATTGTGGAGCTTCACGAAGGAGTTCTTTTGGGGAGACCACCCTGGTTCGAAGAACTGGTTCCTCCTCCTTGGGCATAGCGCTCTTAACCTTCTTTAACTCCTCATAGACGACGTCCATGACTTTCATTTCATCCTTGAGCATGATCACGCTTTCCTCCAGGACGATGTTGGAGATCCTCTCCAGGTGTCGTTCTCTTTCCTCCTCAACCACTTCATATTGATCTTCTTCCAACTTCATACTTCTAGCTCCCATTTTTCCTCGGATCCTTCTTCTAATTTCATAGGGACCCTCAGCCTCCTCAGCGGCCTTTGTGACAGCCATCCAAGTTGATTGGCTCGGCTCAGGTTCCTGGGTCTTCATGATGAAGTACGGGACGATCGCCGTGGAGCCATTGTCTCTCAACACCAGGTGACCATGAGCATCGGGTCTTGGAGCGAGGTAGCGAACCTTCTCATGGGTCGCCTCCAATTCTTTTGTCTTCCAAAATCTTCTTTTGACCAGGAGCTCATGACCAAATGGCGGAACATCCCCCAGATCGAGATCGGCCATGCGTCTTCGCTCCCGCTCGTGGACATAGTGGCATGCTTGAGGCCATCGACTTGCCGGCATACCAGCCATGCCAAGAGCTCGACGAATGTGGGACTTCACTGTTTGGATCGCTCTTTCCGCACGCCCGTTGGACTGAGAAGAGACTCCCGCTGTTGTAGTGCGGTGGATGTCCCTTGAGCGACACCACTGGGTGAGGGATCTTCCTCTGAATTCTCCCCCGAGATCGGTGTGAAGCCTCGCCACGTGGTAGCCCATCACCCTGAGCTGGATGTACATTTGCTGGATCGTGGACAGCACCGTCTTCTGATCCTTTGAGGCCATCGGAATGGCGAGTCTAAAGGTGATC